GTTTGATCTCAAAGGCATAAAGAAGTCATAATGTTTTATATATAATTTCTGTCCCTTCTATGCTATTAGAATTAATACTTGCACAGAATTTCAAGAGAAAATAAATAAATAAATAAACTATTCCCAAAGGCCCATTTCTAAGCAGAATTGTTAAAACCGGTAAGTCCATACTATCTTATCACACCAATGATGAACATAGCCACCACCAGAATTGTAAGAGAATGAATGATGCTGGTTTTACCAATAGCTTGGGATGAATCCACCATGGGTATTCTGGACACTGGTGTCAGCAAACTGAAAAGGTGCAGGGTAAGGTCTGTGGTGGTGAGGGATGTGAATCCTTTCAGCAGCAGCTGCTGCAACCCTGAGAAGTCGGCCCACTTGAGCTGCGCCTGGAGTTTCTCAAGCTTCTCTCGGTTCTCAGCTTTATCGAGTGGCATATGCGCCAGCAGTCTACTCAACAGCCTTAAGGCCATCAGGTACTCAAACTCAAAATCAGACTCCATCAAGGCCACTGTGACCCAGAAGATGGTGGCCAGCAGGTTAGTGGGATGGTTTATGTGGGACGGGTCCGTGAGGCTGTCTTTCAAGGAGGATGAGCTTCTAGTTTTTGAGGAGAGGCCTTGTTGGGTACAAGCCTGAATTCTGTCCAGGGTGGCACTTCGAGGTGGGTCAGAGGATCGGTCAACAACACCAAACTTCTTGGGCACAGAGAAGCTTCTTTGATGCCGGCTTCGTTCTGCAGTGGTGGTATTGCCACTGGCAGTTCCCGGATTCACGTTGAGTTGTCCTGTGCTCTTTCTGCTTGCTGTTAGTTTAGTGCTTGAGCTTAAATCTGGTGATGAAGAGCTGGGTATAAAAATATATAAGTTGAATAGACTGCCAACATGCTTCAGTGAAAACCAGTCCTTTCAAGTCCACTTGAGAAACACTAAAGGAGGGAAAACATTCTTTGGAAATACTACTTTATATTACTTTCTTTTTCCTTATCCTTAAACACAAAAGCTATGAAACACAACAAGAAACCCTTTACCAATAAAACAAAAACAAAACACAGTATTGACTGCCACTTATTGAAAGTGTAAAGAATCAGGCCTTAAAGTTTATTGATTTTTTTGTTGTTTGTCTGAATATGGGCAGGACTAATTTTGTTTGAATATGGGTAGGACTAATTATGAAAGAAAATGTACCTGATAGGTATAAACTTCAATAGTCTATTAAGCAACCAATAAATAGAACAGAAGTGTTCTCTAAAATTATGTTTTCCAGGGAGGCACCTGTGGCTCAAGGACTAGGGCGCCGGCCTCATATGTCAGAGGTGGCGGGTTCAAACCCAGCCCTGGCCAAAAACTGCAAAAAAAAAAATTATGTTTTCTAGAAAGAAGTTATTAAATGTTTATGTCAAAAGACTTTTTTGGGTACTTATAAAAATTTATTAAAAATGATTTCTAAGTCTATTCATGGTGAAAAGATAAAACTTCCCTCCTTCCTTCCTTTTTTTTTTTTTCGAGACAGAGTCTGACTTTGTCACCCCAGGTAGAGTGCCATGGTGTTGCAGCTCATAGCAACCTCAAACTCTTGGGTTTAAGTTATTCTCTTGCCTCAGCCTCCCAAGTAGCTGGGACTAGAGGCACCCACCACAACACCTGGCTAGTTTTAGAGACAGGGTGTTGCTTTGGCTCAGGCTAATCTTGAATTCCTGAGCTCAGGCCATCCACCAGCCTTGCTCTCCCAGAGTGCTAGGCTTACAGGTGTGAGCCACTGCGCCCAGCCCCAGATAAGACTTTTCATTAACATTCTTGCTAACTTAGTGCTGATTTAGATAAATCTGTAAGTTTATATAGCTAAGTATGTATGATGTTAGTAGTCACACTGTAGTTACCTCTTCAGCATTGTTATGCTGAACTTAAAAGGGGAACAAGGCCCAGTGGGGTACAAGATAATATTACTGACTTGATTTGAAGCAAGATGAACTCAATTACACAGCAGAATATACAACTGTAAATGATTTGAAATGGGTTATTAAGCATGGATAGGTGAACAAAAAGGTGTCAAGGTAGAAATTTCTTCTGGAAAAGTCAACATCTATTTCAACTGCTTTTATAGAAATGGTTCAGATGAGCTATACGTGTATTCCTTTAAAGAATAATATTTAGTTTTAGTTTCTATTTACCAATGTAATAAGTAAAATAACTATTACACAAAATTTGAAAAAATATTCCAAGACATAAACAGGAAAATTAAAAATCATTAATATCTGTATTATTTAGAGATAATATTTGGTGTCTATCTTCCTGACATTTAAAAATTCTTCTAAAACATGTCTATGAGTGTGTGGTAACTTCCTTTTTTTTAACTTAAGAAAATATCATACATACTTTTTCAGCTCACAAATAGATTTCAAAAGTGAGATTTATTCTTTGTACTCTACCCCAAATCCAGAATCTCCCAAATAATCAGTACAGTAGATCTGATTTTAAAACATCATTAAGCTGATTCTCACCGGGATAACACAGTTAAGAGATCACTATTCTTCAAGCAGTCGGACAAGTTATCCACAGCAGCCTCCAGCGTAAGGAGCGCCTCCATCACATAACCCTGCCAAACAGGCAAAGACAGCATTTTGTCCCGCTTATCACCATTGTTAACTTCCTGAAGATAAATGTAATTCGTGTAAACTTTATTCCAGTAATGTTAATATCATTGAAATTTAGACATTCATTGCTGCTTTAATTTATGAAGTCTAAAAACAAATTTTAAGAACCACTTAGGAAATTTGGATGGCTTAGGAGTTAGCAGATAAGCATAAAGATTTATTTCCCTAGGTCTGAAAGCCTCAACAGCTCAATTTCATTTGAAATCCACTGGGGACAGGGAGGCAAGCACAACTCCCTGCCGAGGGGAGGAGGGCATCTGAAATATAGAATAGTGATATCCAAAAGCCAGAGACTGAGATGAGGTATAGAGAGTGCTGTGCATCTCCGGCGTTTTGGACAGCACTTCTGATGGCCAGAGGAGGAAAAGCAGGTAGAGTCTATCAGTATTTAGGCTTTTCTGAGAGGCCAGAACATTTCTGATGGGAAAGAAGGGCTTGGCCTGAGAGACAGAACCTCTAATGCCCATGGCTTTCAATCTGCCCAGCTCCAGAAGATCTGGGCTCTACCTACACGGTCTTCTGTGGCAAATACTCTCGCCACTCCGTCAGCTCTTCTCAGTCTACTGA